CCAAAATTTGTTTACTACAACAATAAACTTATGTATGACCTTTCAAATCAAGTGAAAAACCTATGACTCACCTTTCCTTACCAAACTCTTCCTGTGTCCTCTGACCTGAAACTATTACAAATAAATAGTGCTGAGTCCTTTGATGTGTAAAATAGTCTTCAGAGCCTAAGAATATCTATTAGCACCAAGAGAAAGTATATACCCTTCAGTGCTTTTAGTGCATGTCCTTTACACGTAGCAACCACGTTGATTTCTTAGTTTTCTCATGTTTGGGGGTTAGTGCAGCCATTCCAGTTTATGTAGCAAAGACAAAAATTGATAAAGCAGTAATATTTTTAAAAAACATTTATGAAGTGGCTTTTGAAGTCCAGTATGAATCATTTCTAGTATTGTGTGTCAGTTTTTCAAGGAAATTGTCACTGGATTTTATTCAGAGGTGCTACACACTCATTTTAATAAATTTGTATTGTTTTTCCAAAGAAACAGAAATTTTCAAAGTGACAGGAAAAGACTATATATTTTGCTATACCTCTCATCATTTTTTTTTTTTCAGTATGTTTGTTAATCTTATTTCTAATAAACTTATAGTTTGTCTTTCTATAATATTTTTTCTGGGTGAATTATTTTGCGAACAATGAGTAATGTCATTTAAAATTATTCTATCCAATTTTCCACTTAATATAACTGATGAATTTTTAATTCACAATGATGTAATGATATAACTAATCTATTATTCAAAAAGAATAATACAGGGATAAAAATAATTCTTTTTCATTTAGAGTGATGTAGGAAGCCCTGAAATAGATTATTCAAATCCTAGATGATAAACAGAATGTGAAAATTATGTTAATTCCTTAAATAATTTTTCTTTACTAAAATATTGTTTGAATATTTTTAAATGCATTAATCAGCAGTTATATAATAGAAGGGAGCAGCTTCATAATCATTTATATTGTTCTTATTCACTTATTTTTGTTTTGATTTTTAGAGAGGAAGGAAGAGGGAGAAAGAGGTAGAAACACCCATCAGCTGTCTCATGCATGCCCCCTACTGGGATCAAGCCTGCAACCTGGGCATTTGCCCTGACTGGGAATCAAACTGGCATCCTCTTTGTACATATGTTGACACATAACCACTGAACCATGCAAGCCAGTCTTAGTCACTTTTTATAGCACTTTTTATTGAGATACACATCACATAACATTAAATTCCACTTTTTATTTGTTTGTTCATCTTCACCTGAGGATATTTTTTCATTGAATTTTAGGAAGAGTGGAAGGGAGGGAGGAAGAGAGAGAGAGAAACATCAATGTGAGAGAGACATATCGGGTCAGCTTTAGTCAGGGATTAAGTACCTAATCAGTGGTGGTGCCTAGCATACTGTTCTTTCACAGGAGGATAAGTGTATAGAGATTCCCTTAGGCCTCCTAGTGGTCATGCATGTTTCAGGGCAGCTGGAGTCCCAGGTGACTTAATTTTCCAACAGCTTCCTGTTTCCTCTAGCATGTCCAACAAATTTTATTTTTCACTACATGGCATAGTTAAAACAGACTGAGAAGCATAGCTCTAATTGTTTCAAGAAAATGTCCATTTTGATTGTTTCCAGTAATGTGAACCTCAGGAACCAACTTTGGAAATCAGTCGAACTGAGCTTATTTTCTACTTGTACGTACAAAGAAGACCAGTATTCAGATGGTTAGAGGAATACCTATGTGGTTAGAAGCAGGCAGAGAGATATGAGTAAAAAGGACAATATTTAGATATCTATGTGTGTATACTAGATGTTTTATAAAAGTTGCATGCAACTGAATATTGTAAATTCCGTTAAAATTGCTTGTTTTTAGGAATTTTGTTAATTTTTCTAAGCACAAATCTCTTTGAAATATAAAAATCCATCCTCTAACACACCTGAGTTTTTCTTAAAACTAGCCATATTTTTACATAACAAAATAATAATGATAATTATTGTAGTAGCTATTCTTACAATCTACTATGGAAATTTGTTATGAAGAGATTTAACCAGGAATAATTTTTTAAAAGATCACCCAAATAATTCACATAACTGAATTAACTCTTAGATTAATATGGATTTGTTCAGTCCTGAAACATCAGTTGGCAAATAGTAAGTTTGGGGGAAAATATTTTTTCTTTTCTAAGTTTTGGAGTTTAAATGAAAAATTTTAATCCCATTTTTTTATATTTATCTCTTTGAACTACTTTTAGATTTTGAAAAACAGCTATATTAGGCTATTGATAAAATTAGTAGGACAAATAAGGATTAAATAGGTTAATACATCTAAAACACTTAAAACAGTACCTAGCATGGTGTAAGCACTTTTTAAATGTTAATAGTGTTATTAGCGCCCTGGCCAGTTTGGTTCAGTGATGGGAGCATTGGCCTGAGGACCAAAGAGTTGCGGGTTCTATTCTGGTCAAGGGCATGTACCTTGGTTGTAGTTCGGTCCCTGGCCCTGGTCGTGGTTTTGCGGGAGGCAACCAATCGATGTGTCTTTTTCACATCAATGTTTCTCTCTCTCTTTCTCTTTCCCCCTCCCACTGTATATGAAGATAAATAGAAAAATATCTTCAAGTAAGGGTTTAAAAAAAAAATAGTGTTATTGGCAAGCCCTCCATTCTAGACTAGTTGTGACTTTTTAGAGAGAATGTTCAACTTTTTTTAAACACTGTTCCTTGCTTTGATTTAATATTGTTCCTTGCTTTGATTTCCCCAAGTTCTTCAGTAGGTGGTAAGCATTGGATATAAATACTTCAAGCATATCTTGGTCACTAGGCAAGAATATTTTTGGTCTGAAAGCTAATTTTTAAATATATATCTATATATCTACTTTTGTTCTTTTTCTCTTGAATGCAGAAACATAAGAAGAGAAAGGACAATAGGTTTCTATGTAGATGCCAATGCCACTCAATTAAAACCAGCTACCCTGAGCAAAGTTGAGAGATTCTGCCTCTGTACTCCAGCTCAATGGGAAGGAGTTACATGATTCTAACTGTTGCTATGAGTACAGAGTGAGAGTGACATTACAAATAGGATGTATTTTCCATCTTTGATTTAGTTATACTTGGTAACCAGATTCTCATGTGACTATAGTTATAAATCCTTAGACAGAGATGTAGATAATTGGTTTTGGTTCTGAGTGAGTCTGATACTATCGTAGCTCAAATAACATGCACAGTTGAAACATAGGACTATCACCCGCATGGGCCTTATGTGACTTAGGTGGAATTGCCTTGTTATAATCACTGTGTTTGGGTGATCTGGTGCTTAGATTTATAGACTCAGAAATTCTGTCGTTACTATGCACATAGGGTATTAGACTTTAGGGGACTGATTAGTATTGAAAAAATGTGACAAACTAAAAAATAAGAATGAGAATAACAGTTTATTATTGTATAATAGGAGAGAAATTTATCATATATACCAGAGAGTTGTGTTTATGAATAACTAATGAGGAAAAAATTCTACTCTTAAAGGAAGTTAACAAGGATGATTTTCTGCCTGGGCATAGAGGGTGGGTGGGTGGGAAAGTCTTCCCTGAGAAGTTATAAGCACAGGTCCACTCTCATGTGGATTTTATATATTGACAGGATTGTCTGGGAACCTCCAAGCCAAGAAAGTAATACATAAAGTGCCTCCTAAGTACTTGGCAAATGCAGGTACATCAATACATGAAACACTCTGAAGAGAGGCACTCCCAGCTCAAATTACAAAGTATTTCCTCAGATTAAGCTCTGAACTCATAATCTAGAATTACAAAACACACAAGGAAACAGTTTACTAAGAGAAAGAGGAGACAAACACTAGGATTATATATGTAAGAACTTTAAATAATAAATTTATCAGATAAGAGACTTACAAAATAAATGTTTAAATGATTAATAACTCAAATCTCTGTACCTGAGGTATTATACACACACCCATATGAAGAAATATTCTCATTGAAATTAAAAATTCATGAAGTTAAAAAATCATTATATTAGATACAGATGAGAGAAAAATTAACTGGGTTATAAATGTGAGGGAATTATCCAAATGTAGCACAAGAGGAACAAAAATTTATAAAAATATGAAGGAGACAGTTCTATATATATCTAATAAGATTTTCTAAAGAAGAGAATAGAGGAAATAAAGAAGAGGCTATCAAAGAGATAATAGCAATAATTTTGTTTATAAATAATGAACACATTATTTATTTGTTTATAAATAATGAAACACATGAATCTTCAGACTCAGGAAATATAAAGTGCCTGAAACAGGAAAAATTTTTAAAATTCACACCTAGACAAGCATAGTAAAATTGCTGAAAACCAGTAATAAAGAGATCTTAACAGTAACCAGAGAGGAAAGAAGACTTATAAAAGAGCAATAATAGGCTGACAGTGGGCTAATATATTATTTCAAAATGCTGGGGTGATTTAAATGCTAAATAGAATTATCTACCCAGCTAAACTATCATGAACTTTATCTAATTTCAGACTGAAATAAAGACATTTTTAACTCTTAGGAGAATTTACTACTAATAGAATCTTGCTGAATTAACTTGTAAAAGATGTTCCCTAATGAGAAAGGAATTTAACACAGAGGAAGGGATGGAATACAAGGGGGAGAAATGGTGTGGGGAGTATAAAAAAAAAATATTTCCACATCTAATTTTTTTTTCCCCTTGGGTGTGGGGAATATATAGGATTTACTTTTATTAAAAACATTTCCCTAAGGGTCTAGATGTAATAAGAGCTAAGTTTACCTTGTGTTATAACAAATTTAAAAAATATTTTTTAAAAGGGCAACATTTTATTGTTAATGATTAACGGAACACAAGATTAACAGTGATTATTTCCAAATTGTAGGTTTTCAGTGGTTTGGGGTTTTTCCGTACTATTTGTAGTATTTCCTAGTTTTATAAATGAACACATTTTATTATTTTAGTTAGATATAAACTATTTTTAAAGAGACATTTAACAACAATTTTTCTTTCATTTAGATCAAATCCTTTTTATGAGCCCAAACCAACCCTTCCTCCAAATAATTTGATAAATCCAATTCAAGAACTGGAAGCTGAAAAGAGAATGAAAAGAAAAGCCCCAGCCCCGCCAGTCATCGCACCGAAGAGAGGCGTGAATGAAAACACGGTTGTTCCTGCAGGAAGAGATCTCTCCACTTCTCCTAAGGTAGGAGTTCATTCTAAGTAAAACATGTGTTAACATTTGGTCTTTTCCCCCATGTAATTTAATTAAAATGAACAAAAGTCATTGTTAGCTATTTTTGATGACTTAAAAGTAAAATCCAAGTAAGTTCATTATACTGCAACATTATATATATATGTTTGGGAAACTATAGGTTTATAGTAGAGTATGGATTTTGGATAGTTAAGATTTGTTTTTAAATGCTATTTTGAAATCAGTGGAAGAGAGGCATTAGAATTATATGGTTGTTGATTTAAACAAAAGATACTCAAAGCAGCTCGCTAGGCATGAAAGACAGCTTACACTGATAGAGAAGTCATCCTTTGAGAAATGCCCTGGAAAGATGAAGACTCAGTGCAGAGAAATGCTTTGTTGCAGAATTTCAATAGTCACTCTGATTTATGTCAACTTATAATTTTGGCCTATTGTAACAATTTTTTTATTTTTATTTTTTTACAAATTTTAACATAATAGTTGTGGAAAAGTAAAACTGTATTGGAACAAAGTCTGAAGCTTTTTCAGCAGTTCTCAACCTGTGGGTCGCGACCCCTTTGGGGGTCAAACAACCCTTTCACAGGGGTCCCCTAAGACCATCGGAAAACATATTTCTGATGATCTTAGGAACAGAGACACCACTCCTCTATCCATCTCCAGGCGGGCCCGCCCACATGCAGGTACACCCACACACAACATGCATACAACATGAGGAACTTTATTAAAAGGTCGCGGCATTAGGAAGATTGAGAACCACTGTAAATGGTTTGATTGCAAATAGTATATCTTCCATGTGTAAGGTAGAAATGTTTAATTTAGCAAGCTTTTTGGGGGTAAGTAACTTTTGCTCATCTACTCATGGATATTTTATTGTTGTTACCATATTACATTATGTAATTCTCATAGGTAGTTAAGGGGAAGATAAGATGAACTTGAACTCAGAGGGATAAAGTAAAAATCACAGGTCCCCCAGCCAGTAGAGACAGGATTGGAACTGGATTTTTTATTATTGTGTTATATCTGGACTCTACACCACCTCAGATGCCTAGGCTGCTGTTTTTCTCAAAGGCATCGAGGTTCAGTAGTTTTCTCTTGGATTTTTTTAGTTCATTCTGTGGCTTTCATTAAATGCCAGAGTTCTGAAATAGCTTGTTTGCCTGTATGTTTATTGTTTTAGAGGGAAATGGAGTTCACTGACATCTTTACTGTGCTATTCCAAAAACCATTCTCTAGGTATTTGTTTTTATATCAGGTTTTTTTACCCTATAACTTTAGAGAGAGGAACTAGAACTAAATTCTGTCTTGCAGCTATCTAGGGAAAGGGGGTGCGGTGTGGGGAAGTCTCAAGTGATAGAAATATAAAGCAAAGAAGATGGCCAATTCCTGTACCCATGAGGGGAGAAGAAAAAGACAGTAGCAGGGGCACTAGTCAAAATCAAGAGCTGCTTAGGTCCTTATCCATTCTAATCATCAAATACCTAAACCTATCCCCTAGAACCTTGAATCCCTACTCCATGGCCTGCTATCTGCTCCATCCTTTTCTGTAGTCCATCAGGAGTTTGAAGCTAATCAAGAAATCCTAATCTCTCTGTAAAGAAGGAACTTAATAGTGCCTGTTGTGTGCCAAACAACGTTCTATTACCTCATTTGATCCATAGAGCAACCTGGGAAATACATACCATTATCTTCTTTTTATAACGAGAAACTGAATCTTAGTTAAGTAACTTGCTCAAAGTGATAAAACTAGTAGTGACAGTGCCAGGATTAAAGTTCAAGTCTTTTAAGTCTGAAACCCATACTTTTCCCACTGTACCAGTCTACCTCTAGAAAGGTATTTCTAGTTCCAAGTTGGAACTCTTAATACATTTTTTTTTCATAGAAATGTTGTTATATATAGTGATTTAAATTGTGTTGTAGTGAAGTATATAACATGACTTTTTTTTACATTATTTTGAGGATACTGTTTTATTGCAGATAAATTGTGAAATAATGATATTTATGGGACAGGCTGAGCATTTACAAATCATCATGCTTCTCTTAGAAAACGCTTTGTTATGCTCAGACACAGATAGTAGAAACACGATCATTCATATCCATAGTAACCTGTTGATCTTGGAGTTAGTTTAGATTACAACAGTGTGAAAGGTAACTGTGAAAACTTAAACTTATAAAAGATTAATGATATATTATTAAATGAAAACAATACATACAGAGTGTAGTATACCTTCTGTGTGTATGAAGTTTTATTTAAGGTTTATTCACACATATACACATACATATACACATGTACATTATGGAAGGAATTACAAGTAACTTAATAGTGTTTACCTTTGAGAAGAAGGATTTGGTAGGCTAGAGGGGATGCACAAGATTGGGGAAGGCATTGTTTTTCCTTTTTTAACCTCGTTATATTGTTTGAATTTTCAAACCTTACACTTTTTACTTACTAATAGAGATTTTGGAGTAATGAGATCATGCATCTTTTTTTGTTGTTGCCTTCTATACAAAATACAAGATACTACATTTTAAAATGTTTTTGTCTTTCAAGAGAGGAAGTCACTCTTAGGTTTGATCAGGGATATTAAACTATTTGGTGGTGCCCTGGTTTTCATGAGGTGTCTTAGTATACGGCACTGGGACCAGGTATGGAGGCTTAGCGCAGGTCGCTTTTATAGTACAGATCAATTTATATGTTGGAATTCGTGTAAGATTTCATTTGGAAGAAAATGGGCCATTGCCAAACTGAAAAAAAAAGAAAAAGAAATTGGAAACTACTAACTACACAATTATGTATGAGATAAAGAAGAAGATTAGAATCAGTGGCATACTGACAATAATAAAAATGATAAATGGCAGGTAAGAAAGCATAGAAGTATGGGACTTATTTATCATAGAGATATATATATATATTTGTGTGTGTGTGTTTGTATATTTATATACACATACATTCCCACAGTAGACTGGGATATGTTCCTGAAGGCTTTGCAGTATTAAGTCACAGTGAAATAATTGACCATTTTGGCAACTTTGAGTCAACAAGAAAGAATCTTACTTTGTTTTGTATACAGTATTCTGTTAGAAAAAGGAAAGTGTGTTCTACATCAAAACATTTTTATTAAAATAATAAAACAGTTATAATGCTTAAAAAGGTATTACTTCCTGGTCAGTTATTTTTCTTATTTGTAAATTTAAAAGGAGACAGTACAGTAGTTCAAATAAAGTTTTTAAAAAAATTAGACGCAAATATTGGTCAAATACTAAAGAATATTATACCACAGTTATTTTGTATGACAAAATGCCAAACTGCAGTGAATGGCAACTGCCTACAGAGGCTAAAGAGCATTCACTGTCATGAAATGACAAGTGCTCAGCTAGAAGATTAATTTCCCCACCTGTCACCTAAAACTTATTTTAAAGAAATTTTATAAAACACAAAAAAACTAGACCCAGAATTTAAACAAAGTATTAATAAACTTGTCCTTATATTGCAAATAAAATTCAAACACCCCCAAAGGTAGCTAAGGGACCCCTTCAGTGTCATAAACCTATATAAATGGAACACTTCAGACCATTAATTTCTGCATTTGTAAAATGATAAAACCACAACACTTTTAAAGACAACTTAGGAAAAAGGACTAATGTTTAGCGAGGTAACCTGACATTAAGCACACAACCATCCAATAACATAAAATAAGTTAAGTTCATTGGTGGCTGGCCACCATTTACTGACTGTGAATATAAATAAGTTAATTCATGTGTAACTCTGAACATCTAGCTATAATTCACGCAACTTAGTGTAAAATGAAATCCAAATGATTAGAAAGAGCTTAGGAATATAAATGACATTGTTGCTAGATACATCTGCTAAACTTTATTAAACACTGTATACCCAATTCCATAAAATTCATGATATAAACAGCCAACTATTAATGACAGTAAAGAATTAAATTAAACTTATACTTTTGTGAAAGTATAGAGAAGAGCCACACTGCACATTTTATGATGAAATGAGCCTGGTCAAGTGGAGAAGGGTTCCCTCAAAGATCCTGTTTGATGGAGCTTCAGTGGTTGACAGTAATACTACTGTCTGCTTACTCCATCTCTGAAAGTGAAAACCCTGTCCATTTCTCTCAAGGCCTACCTAAATAACTGAAGCCTTCACTCACATTGGTTAATGTGTTCTAAACATTCTGGCAAAGTCCTGAGTTTTACATTTGAATATGTTTGAACTTGAATACAGATGGTACAACTGTGGAAAGACCAGGGTAAACCAAAGTCAAAGTTATACACAGCACCCCCTTTGATTGGTCCCAGCAGCGAGTTCAAGCCACAGGAAAAACACCTTTTCCATCTTGCACATAAAGGCCTCCTTTTAGAAAGTTCTTTACATCCATTTCTGTCTATGCAAAACTGTGTAGAATAGTGCCTATGGAATATTCATGCTAACAAACAATAAGCACACAGACTATTAATTTCCACATATGAAAATTGAAAATGCCTCACACCTTCCAAGGAAAATCATAAATTCGATGAGGATCAGAATTTAATTTAATAAAATGAAAAATACACAATTATTTTGTAAAATAAAATACCAAGCTTCATTCAATGACAGCTGGGAGGAGGAGGGAAGCTTAAGTTATCTATTAAATTTTATTTATTGGAATGACTTACGTATTAGAATACCCTGTTTCTCAATAATACTGAATAATTGGGACGCTCCTATATGTATCACCTCTTTTATTGGTTTGTATTCTTTTGTTTACAACTAGAAACAAGCCATTTGGTTGATTTTTTTTTGGAAGCAAAAAAGGCTAACTTGTTATAAAGACCCAAGGAGATTTTGCAGAACCCTAGGCAGAGGCTACAGTGGGGCCTTAGGAATCAACCTCAGTTGTGTCTGCTTCTCTCTTTGGAATGGCTTTAATCTGCCTTTATCTTTTTAATTTAGTCAAGTTTGCTTTCTCCTTGAAAAATATTTTATGTTCTCAACT